TTTTTATTATTATTATTAGTTTTTTTTTTTTTTTTTTTTTTTTTTTTTTTTTAACAAAGTTGCAGTTTTCCTTTCGGCCAGAAGCTCACTGGTCATCCTTTAGATGACTGATTATTCGCTCTAACAGCAGATACTTTGTTCGTCGATGCGATCGATCAGATTATTAGATGTCGTGGTGGAAACGGAGACGCGATCGATAACTTCGAAGTTGTGATCTTAACTGCCGACGGAAATTTCCTTCCCGCGTGCGGCATATCGATCGGACAGGTCGGTGACTATAGATGGGTTATTCCGATCGATTGGAGAAGAAAGCGATTGTTTATGTAGATTACTCCATTGGAGAGCGGACGGACGCGCGGCGTAGCGGGAGGGGAAGGAGTCCTCGGGGCGTCGCTGGGCTCTGGGGGGGGAGTCCTCTGGGCGTCGCTGGGCTCTAGGAGGGGGAGTCCTCAGGGCGTCGCTGGGCTCTGGGGGGGGGGGGGGGAGTCCTCGGGGCATCGCTGGGCTCTGGGGGGAGTCCTCGGGGCGTCGCTGGGCTCTGGGGGGGGAGTCCTCGGTGCGTCGCTGGGCTCTGGGAGGGGAGTCCTCGGGGCATCGCTGGGCTCTGGGGGGGGCGGAGTCCTCGGGGCATTGCTGGGCTCTGGGGGGGAGTCCTCGGGGTGTCGCTGGGCTCTGGGGGGGGGGGGGAGTCTTCGGGGTGTCGCTGGGCTCTGGGGGGGGGGGAGTCCCCGGGGCTTTGCTGGGCTCTGGGGGGGGGAGTCCTCGAGGCGTTGCTGGGCTCTGGGGGGGAGTCCTCGGGGCGTCGCTGGGCTCTGGGGGGGAATCCTCGGGGCGTTGCTGGGCTCTGGGGGGGGAGTCCTCGGTGCGTCGCTGGGCTCTGGGAGGGGAGTCCTCGGGGCATCGCTGGGCTCTGGGGGGGGGGCGGAGTCCTCGGGGCATTGCTGGGCTCTGGGGGGGAGTCCTCGGGGCGTCGCTGGGCTCTGGGGGGGAATCCTCGGGGCGTTGCTGGGCTCTGGGGGGGGGGAGTCCTCGGGGCGTCACTGGGCTCTCAGGGGAGTCCTCGGGGCGTTTCTGGGCTCTGGGGGGGGGAGTCCTTGGGGCGTCGCTGGGCTCTGGGGGGAGTCCTCGTAGCGTTGCTGGGCTCTGGGGGGAGTCCTTGGGGCTTTGCTGGGCTCTGGGGGGGGAGTCCTCGAGGCGTTGCTGGGCTCTGGGGGGGAGTCCTCAGGGCGTCGCTGGGCTCTGGGGGGGAATCCTCGGGGCGTTGCTGGGCTCTGGGGGGGGGAGTCCTCGGGGCGTCGCTGGGCTCTGAGGGGAGTCCTCGGGGCGTCGCTGGGCTCTGAGGGGAGTCCTCGGGGCGTCACTGGGCTCTGGGGGGAGTCCTCGTAGCGTTGCTGGGCTCTGGGGGGGGAGTCCTCGAGGCGTTGCTGGGCTCTGGGGGGGAGTCCTCAGGGCGTCGCTGGGCTCTGGGGGGGAATCCTCGGGGCGTTGCTGGGCTCTGGGGGGGGGAGTCCTCGGGGCGTCGCTGGGCTCTGAGGGGAGTCCTCGGGGCGTCGCTGGGCTCTGGGGGGAGTCCTCGTAGCGTTGCTGGGCTCTGGGGGGAGTCCTTGGGGCGCCGTTGGGCTCTGGGGGGAGTCCTCGGGGCGTCGCTGGGCTCTGGGGGGAAGTCCTCGGGGTGTCGCTGGGCTCTGGGAGGGAGTCCTCGGTGCGTCGCTGGGCTCTGGGGGGGAGTCTTCGGGGTGTTCCTGGGCTCTGGGGGGAGTCTTCGGGGCGTCACTGGACTCTGGGGGGGGAAGTCCTCGGGGCGTCGCTGGGCTCTGGCGATGATCGCAGCTTTGTCCATGCAGCAGACACAGCGGGAGGCCACGTGGGCCCGGCGTAGCGGGGGGGAGTTCTTGGGGCGTTGCTGGGCTCTGGGGGGGAGTCTTCGGGGTGTCGCTGGGCTCTGGGGGGGGGGAGTCTTCGGGGCGTCGCTGGGCTCTGGGGGGAGTCTTCGGGGCGTCGCTGGGCTCTGGGGGGAAGCTTCTGGGTGTCGCTGGGCTCTGGGGGGAGTCTTCGGGGTGTCGCTGGGCTTCGGGGGGAGTCTTCGGGGTGTCGCTGGGCTCTGGGGGGGGGAATCCTCGGGGTGTCGCTGGGCTCTGGGGGGGAGTCTTCGGAGTGTCGCTGGGCTCTGGGGGGAGTCCTCTGGGTGTCGCTAAACTCTGGGGGGGAGTCCTCGGGGTGCCGCTGGGCTCTGGGGGGAGTCCTCTGGGTGTCGCTGGACTCTGGGGGGAGTCCTCTGGGTGTCGCTGGGTTTGTCCATGCAGCAGACGCAGCAGGAGGCCACGTGGGCCCGGCGTAGCGGCGGTTAGCGTGACTGGGAAGCCATACACCTGTCTCGCACACAAGGCGGGGAGGACCCACGCAGGCAGAGACACGCAGGAGGAGAACAATGGACGCCATTGTTCGCGGGGCACCTGGGCCATCCCCGCAGATCACTCAGCGCTTGTCAGAGGCTGCGAGACTCGCACACAAAGCAAACCGCAGAGCCCGGGGCCAAGCCTATCATCTCTCCTTAACACGCAAGGTGTCAGTCACGGCCCTGCAGTCTGTTTACATGTAACGTCACGTGGGAATGCGTGTCACGCTGCCGGGGGAGCTCGGATCGCATACCTCGTAACAGGATTCCAGGAGCGGAGCGTGCACGGGGGGGTATGAGGACCTGTCACCTGCAAGACACTAAATACGTATATAGGAGCTGTTTTACCTGACAAAAGAGGTTTTATTTCTGTCCATCCAGTCCTGGGATTTAAACTGCTCTGTCACACAGCACAACTGGGTGGATGACACCACTCAGTGACCACTGGGTCACTTCTGATGCTCCCCCCTGGGCTATAAAGTACGTTTCTTCCAGAGATTGATGCCCAGTCCCTGAAAAAGGGAGTCCGTCCCCCCGAAATGAGTCGGTTGTATCGGATGCTTCTGTGCGAATAAACATTTTCAGCAATTCTGCCGCATGAATAACATCAAAATCTGCATTTCACGTTTGCATTCAAGCCTGCAGAGCATCGCGGCTGCGGTCAGAGCGTCGCGGGTGCATTGCTGTCTCCCAGCCCCGGATCCGCATGGAGGTTCATGCCTTCTGTTATGGGGCTGCAGCAAGGAGATGGCAGACTATAGAAGTGCTGCAATGGCACCACAAATGTTCCGGGTGCTCAGTGTGGCCCCCTGCTGCGGGGGCCAATGGGATTTGTAGTCTTCCCTATCTCTGTGAATGCATAGGTAAATGGTCAGAGACTGCAGACACAGTACAGGAGATGGTCAGAGACTGCAGACATAGTACAGGAGATGGTCAGAGACTGCAGACATAGTACAGGAGATGGTCAGAGACTGCGGACATAGTACAGGAGATGGTCAGAGACTGCAGACATAGTACAGGAGATGGTCAGAGACTGCAGACATAGTACAGGAGATGGTCAGAGACTGCAGACATAGTACAGGAGATGGTCAGAGACTGCGGACATAGTACAGGAGATGGTCAGAGACTGCAGACACAGTACAGGAGATGGTCAGAGACTGCAGACACAGTACATGAGACGGTCTGAGACTGCAGACACAGTACAGGAGATGGTCAGAGACTGCAGACATAGTACAGGAGATGGTCAGAGACTGCGGACATAGTACAGGAGATGGTCAGAGACTGCAGACATAGTACAGGAGATGGTCAGAGACTGCAGACATAGTACAGGAGATGACCAGAGACTGCAGACATACTACAGGAAACGGTCAGAGACTGCAGACATAGTACAGGAAACGGTCAGAGACTGCAGACATAGTACAGGAAACGGTCAGAGACTGCAGACATACTACAGGAGACGGTCAGAGACTGCAGACATAGTACAGGAAACGACCAGAGACTGCGGACATAGTACAGGAAACGGTCAGAGACTGCAGACATAGTACAGGAGACGGTCAGAGACTGCAGACATAGTACATGAGACGGTCAGAGACTGCGGACATAGTACATGAGACGGTCAGAGACTGCGGACATAGTACAGGAGATGGTCAGAGACTGCGGACATACTACAGGAAACGGTCAGAGACTGCAGACATAGTACAGGAAACGGTCAGAGACTGCAGACATAGTACAGGAGACGGTCAGAGACTGCAGACATAGTACAGGAGAGGGTCAGAGACTGCGGACATAGTACAGGAGATGGTCAGAGACTGCAGACATAGTACAGGAAACGGTCAGAGACTGCAGACATAGTACAGGAGAGGGTCAGAGACTGCGGACACAGTACAGGGGATGACCAGAGACTGCGGAAATGTTGATCCCCTACAAATGTGAACGATTGATCAGTTTCTCTCAGAATTCACAGATGTTTGTTGCACAGGTGACCAGAAGCGATCTATAAAATCCCACCACAGCCGATCTTGGAAAAGTCGGTCCGGTGTGGAGGATCTTTGTTTTGTGTTTTCTGCAGATTCTCGGAGTGGTGAGGGTTAATCTCTGCAGTTCCTTGTCTTCTCTGATCAGCTCACCTCCAGATATTGATTGATCACGCCTCGGGGCGGCAGCATGTAAAAAGTGAAAGCGGGTCAGCGGGGAGTCAGAAGGGTTCCTCCTCCTTCTACAAAGTTACAATGTACAGTCTGATCACTAGGGGGGAGGAGAGCAAGGAAATGACTCCTCCTACTACTACAAAGTTACAATGTACAGTCTGATCACTGGGGGCAGAGAGTGAAGCTGGGTCAATGGGAAGTCAGAAGGTTGTATACAGAGTGACAGCTGACCATGGAAGATGTTTCTGTAGATGTCACCTTTTAGGCGACACCTATAGTGACAAAAATGCTGTTTTTTTTATTTTCCTTACATGTGATTGGGTGTTCTTTGCAAAGCGAAGTTTCAATTAATTTACAAAGTTCTGAAGAACTTGTAGAATGCACAATCCACCCCATACAGTGTGTGTATGTATAATATATATATACAAACTATATTGCCAAAAGTATTGGTCCCGCCCTCCATATCATGTGATTCAGGTGTTCCAATTCCCTCCATATCATGTGATTCAGGTGTTCCAATCCCCTCCATAGCATATGATTCAGGTGTTCCAATCCCCTCCCAATCATGTGATTCAGGTGTCCCAATCCCCTCCCAATCATGTGATTCAGGTGTTCCAATCCCCTCCAATCATGTGATTCAGGTGATCCAATCCCCTCCATATCATGTGATTCAGGTGTTCCAATCCCCTCCCAATCATGTGATTCAGGTGTTCCAATCCTCTCCATGTCATGTGATTCAGGTGTTCCAATCCCCTCCATATCATGTGATTCAGGTGTTCCAATCCCCTCCCAATCATGTGATTCAGGTGCTCCAATCCCCTCCATATCATGTGATTCAGGTGTTCCAATCCCCTCCATATCATGTGATTCAGGTGTTCCAATCCCCTCCCAATCATGTGATTCAGGTGTTCCAATCCCCCCCATGGACACAGGTGTATACAATCAAGCCCCTAGGCATGCAGACGGCTTCCACAAACATTGGTGAAAGAATGGGTCGCTCTCAGGAGCTCAGTGACTCCAAGCGTGGTCCCGTGATAGGTGGCCACCTGGGCAATAAGTCCATCCGTGACATTTCCTGGCTACTAAATATTCCACGCTCAGCTGTTAGTGGGATTATAACAAGGTGGAAGCCACTGGGAACAACAGCCACTCAGCCACCAAGTGGTAGGCCACGTCACATGACAGGGCGGGGTCAGCGCATGCTGAAGCGCACAGAAGTCGCCAACTGTCTGCAGAGTCAATAGCTAAAGACCTCCAAACTTGGTGTGGCCTTCAGATGAGCCCAACAACAGTGCGTAGAGAGCTTCATGGAATGGGTTTCCATGGCCGAGCAGCTGCATCCAAGCCTTCCATCACCAAGTGCAATGCAAAGCGTCGGATGCCATGGTGTAAAGCACGCCGCCACTGGACTCTAGAGCAGGGGAGGTGTGTTCTCTGGAGTGACCAATCACGCTTCTCTGTCTGGCAATCTGATGGACATGTCTGGGTTTGGTGGTGGCCAGGAGAACGGTACTTGCCTGACTGCATTGTGCCAAGTGTAAAGTTTGGTGGAGGGGGGATTATGGCGGGGGTGGTTTTCAGGGGTTGGGTTGGCCCCCTAGTTCCAGTGAAGGTAACTCTTAAGGCGACCTATTGGACAATTTCATGCTCTCAACTCTGTGGGAGGAGTTTGGGGATGGCCCCTTCCTGTTCCAACATGACTGCCCCCCAGTGCACAAAGCAAGGTCCATAAAGACATGGAGGGGCCAGTTTGGGGTGGAGGAACTTGACTGTCCTGCACAGAGTCCTGACCTCAACCCCATAGAACACCTTTGGGATGAATTAGAGTGGAGACTGCGAGCCAGGCCTCCTCCCCCGACATCAGTGCCTGACCTGACAAATGTGCTTCTGGAAGAATGGTCCAACCTTCCCATAGACACCCTCCTAAACCTTGTGGACGGCCTTCCCAGAAGAGTTGAAGCTGTTATAGGTGCAAAGGGCGGGGCCAACTCAATATTCAACCCTACGGACTAAGACTGGGGGGCCATTAAAGGTCATGTGTGTGGGAAGGGCGGGGCCAACTCAATATTGAACCCTACGGACTAAGACTGGGGGGGCCATTAAAAGTCATGTGCGTGGGAAGGGTGGGGCCAACTCAATATTGAACCCTACAGACTAAGACTGGGGGGCCATTAAAGGTCATGTGCGTGGGAAGGGCGGGGCCAACTCAATATTGAACCCTACGGACTAAGACTGGGGGGGCCATGAAAGGTCATGTGTGTGGAAAGGGCGGGGCCAACTCAATATTGAACCCTACGAACTAAGACTGGGAGGGGCCATTAAAGGTCATGTGCATGGAAAGGGCGGGGCCATCTCAATATTGAACCCTACGGACTAAGACTGGGGGGGGCCATTAAAGGTCATGTGCGTGGAAAGGGCGGGGCCAACTCAATATTGAACCCTACGGACTAAGACTGGGGGGCCATTAAAGGTCATGTGCGTGGAAAGGGCGAGGCCAACTCAATATTGAACCCTACGAACTAAGACTGGGGGGCCATTAAAGGTCATGTGTGGGGAAAGGCCGGCGGCCCAATACCTGGGGCAATATAGTGTGTGTATATATATATAGATGTATCCATCCATCCATCCATCCATCCATCTATATACTGTATATACACACGGCTCCTCTTCTTTACATACTCAGCCTGCGGAAAGCTTTAGGACATTGCTGGGGATGTGTACAATTTCCCCCCAAGCTCTGTGCCGATATCTGAGAAAAGCCAGGAGCCCATTGCATTAGTGGGGGGGGAGGGGAGGGGGGCGGTAATGCGGGAAGTTTTGGGAGTAGAGTAAAATTACCATCGAGCAGAACTCAGATTTTCGGCACATTGGGGACACGGCAGACGGTTTTACTGGAAATGGAAAAGAGATTTGAAGAGAAATGAATTTGCTGGTCATGTGACCGTTACGAAGACCAAATCCAAAAATTCTTTAATAGGAGAGAAGTTTTCCTTCAAGCCGTCCAGAGAGAGAAGGAAGGCTGCGGAGTCCCCATGGGGGGGTTCTGGACGGGGGGGGGGCTTCATAGGCTCACACTGGGGGTGTATTTCAGACGTGAATTCAGGGATTCAATAACTACGTGAAGACCAGGAATGACTTGCTGCTGAGAAATGCGATGTGGAGCGCCTATGTACCAGTCAATGTACTAGAAATAGGGGGGCCCCAATGGTAGCCCCTGGCAAGAACCCCCCCCCCCCGGTCGGCAAGTTGCACCCTATTGGCGCAGTCATATCTGTGTGATTCCGACTAGACCGGAGCCGCAGCGATTTCTAAAGTAGCGCATGCACTTCTTCAGGTCAGAGGCGTCCCTAGGGTTGGTGTCACCCGGTGCGGACCGCACCGCCTGCACCTGCCCTGCATAGACATCCGTGTCTTACAAGTCTCACCTGAAGGCGGAATACCTTCACTGGAAGTCGCACGATCAAAGTGGGTGCTAAGCTGCAGTTTAGTCTGCCTATATTTTTCCTCCCCTCTCATCCACATTCTAACGAAATGTCCAACAAAACGTTTCCATTTCCATGACCTATTTTATTTTAAATTCAGTGATGTCATCACTGGGTCTCTGTGCTTCTCTATGCAATGCAGGCAGATCATGGCTGGTGGGAGAGACAGGCAAGATGCTGTACATAGCTTCCTAGAAACATCACAGCCCCCCTTGACTCAGTGCTCCTCCAAAGAGCCCTCAGCCCTGATGCAATCAGTGGGAGGAATAATGCAAATATCAAAATGCCTTGGTGTTGGGTGTTGGTCCTGGAGGAGTGCATGTTTCCGGGCAGGCTGCATTGGCATGCGGAACACGCATGTGATACTGGACCTCCATGATTGGAAAAACTGAAATACAATGAATGAAAAGGGCGGGGCCAGGGACAGTCAGGCTGGGGAGGAAATGGCTAGATGATGCTGGACGTCCTCCAGCCAGGAAATGAGGCAGATGACTGGCTGCACATTGTAAGAAGCTCACAGTGACATCAGAGTAAGACATTTCAGTCCAGGGGAGGAGTCGGCACACCTGTGCAAGACTGAAGGGGAGGAGCTGGTACCCCTCTGCAAGACTGAAGGGGAGGAGCTGGTACCCCTCTGCAAGACTGAAGAGGAGGAGCTGGTACACCTGTGCAAGACTGAAGGGGAGGAGTCGGCACACCTGTGCAAGACTGAAGGGGGAGTTGGTACACCTGTGCAAACCTGAAGGGGAGGAGCCGGACACCTGTGCAAGTCTGAAGGGGAGGAGTTGGCACACCTGTGCAAGACTGAAGGGGAGGAGTTGGCACACCTGTGCAAGACTGAAGGGGAGGAGACGGTACACCTGTGCAAGACTGAAGGGGAGGAGACGGTACACCTGTGCAAGACTGAAGGGGAGGAGTTGGCACACCTGTGCAAGACTGAAGGGGAGGAGTTGGCACACCTGTGCAAGACTGAAGGGGAGGAGACGGTACACCTGTGCAAGACTGAAGGGGAGGAGCCGGTACACCTGTGCAAGACTGAAGGGGAGGATCTGGTACACCTGTGCAAGACTGAAGAGGAGGAGCCGGTACACCTGTGCAAGACTGAAGGGGAGGAGCCATTACACCTGTGCAAGACGGAAGGGGAGGAGCCATTACATCTGTGCAAAACTGAAGGGGAGGAGCCGGTACACCTGTGCAAGACTGAAAGGGAGGAGCTGGCACATGTGTGCAAGTCTGAAGGGGAGGAACCGGCACACCTGTGCAAGACTGAAGGGGAGGAGCCGGTACACCTGTCAAAGACTGAAGGGGAGGAGCCGGTACACCTGTGCAAGATTGAAGGGGAGGAGCCGGTACACCTGTCAAAGACAGAGGGGAGGAGCCGGTACACCTGTGCAAGACTGAAGGGGAGGAGCCGGTACACCTGTGCAAGACTGAAGGGGAGGAGCCGGTACACCTGTGCAAGACTGAAGGGGAGGAGCCGGCACATGTGTGCAAGTCTAAAGGGGAGGAACCGGCACACCTGTGCAAGACTGAAGGGGAGGAGCCGGTACACCTGTCAAAGACTGAAGGGGAGGAGCCGGTACACCTGTGCAAGACTGAAGGGGAGGAGCCGGTACACCTGTCAAAGACAGAGGGGAGGAGCCGGTACACCTGTGCAAGACTGAAGGGGAGGCCGGATGTCACATATAACAAGCAGTTGCATATGATATTCAGTGCAGCAGATGTTCTAGGAGACGGTCGGAGAAGAATGTTGCTGCAGAAGAAGCTAAAGTAAAAACAGATTCAAGCACTAACTGTATATAAAACTGAATGGGGCTTATATATATATATATTTATGTGTGTCTAGAAACAAATACAATGTATATTCTCATAAATCGACTATAAGTACCTCCAAATGATAAGTATGCCCAAATACCAACCTCCTTCCTGCACAGCAGCACTCAGACTGGGAGGGGCAGAGATCTGAGCCAATTAGGTCTCTTCTGCATCCACATGTGTTGCCATCCCCCCTCTATGAACATTACAGGGTGGGAGTAGAGTGATGACCTCTTAAGTGTGCTGCTTCTCCAATCAACAGCCTGGTGACCAAGTTGTATTGCCTAAATGCAGTGGAGGAAAGTGAGGTCACCGAACTTGCTGAGCTGTCTGACAAACGGGCTCATGGAGCACAACACTGTCCTGGGTCTGGTCTGGTTTTGTCTTGGACTTGGGATAGGTCTTAATCCTGGTCTGGTCTTGGGCTGGGGCTTAGTCTTTGCATGTTCTTGGTCTTAGTCTTGGACTGGTTTTGGGCTAGGTCTTAATCTTGGCATGGTCTTGTTCTTAGTCCTAATTTTGTGTAAAATCGTGGCCTGGTTGTGGTCTTAGTCTTAATCTTGGTCTGGTCTTGATCTGGTCTGGTTTTGTTTTGGCTTGTGTCTTAATTTTGGCCTGGTCTAGGTCTTGGTCTTAATCATGGCCTGGTCTTGTTCTTGGTCATACTCTTAATCATGGCCTGCTTGTGGTCTTAGTCTTAATCTGGGTCTGGTCTGGTTTTGTCTTGGTCTTGGTATAGGTCTTAATTATGGCCTAGTCTTAATCTTGGTCTGGTCTTGTTCTTGTTCGTAGTCTTAATTTTGTGTAAAATCGTGGCCTGGTTGTGGTCTTAGTCCTAATCTTGGCCTGGTGTTGTTCCTGGTCTTAGTCTTAATTTTGGTCTGGTCTTGATCTCATCTGGTTTTGTTTTGGCTTGGGTCCTAATTTTGGTCTGGGTCTTGGTCGTACTCTTAATCATGGCCTGCTTGTGGTCTTAGTCTTAATCTGGGTCTGGTCTGGTTTTGTCTTGGCCTGAGTCTTAGTTTTGAAGTGGTCTGGGTTTTGGTCTGGGTCTTGATCTTGGCCTGGTCCTTGTCTGGTCTGCTCTTGTCTTGGTCTTAAAGTGATATTAAAGTTTTTTGTTTTTTTTTTTAATAACAAACAGCAGCCCTGATCCTCCTTTTCTTGGGTCCTCTGCTGGCTCCTCCACTGCCTCCCAAGTCGCTTGCTCTGGGTACTGGTGCGTACTCGTTCCAGAACCCCCCTCTGCGTGTCCATAAGACACATAGAGCCGCAGCTCGGCCTGCTCTCTCCTCACTGGCTGTGATTGACAGCAGGCTCCCGCTTTGTCTCAGCCAATGAGCAGAGGGAGTCCTGGGACAGCCGAGGCTCTCATGCACATCGCTGGATCGAGAGGGGGTTCAGGTAAGTGTTGGGGGGGTTGGGGGACGGGGGAGAACAGGACACATAGATTGCATGAAGGTGAAATAAAAAAACCTTCTGCCTTTACAATCGCTATTATCTTGGTCTAGTTTTAAATATTTTGTTAAAATGTTCGCATTGTGGAGAATTCACTTCACTTCCTGTCCTGCAGTCACCAGGAAGTCAGAGGAAATCTCTCCAAACTGAAGAATTCTGTACCCAGAACACGTGGCCCCAGTAGGAGATTTCTCCTCACTTCCTATTCTGCCGACAACTCCATATTTTGGATTTGCCGTCACCAAAGATAGGGTTGACCAGGGGCAGACTGACCATTTGGAAACTCGGGTACTGGTCAGTAGGGGGCCCCACGAGATGCCCCTGGTACCTTTTTCATAGGTTTTTTTGGGTTTGGGCAAGGACACAGGGGCCCCATGATCCCCTATTGAGGGCCCGGGGTCAGTAGGGGGCCCCACGAGATGCCCCTGGTACCTTTTTCATAGGCTTTTTTGAGTTTGGGCAAGGACACAGGGGCACCATGATCCCCTATTGAGGGCCCGGGGTTAGTAGGGGGCCCCACGAGATGCCCCTGGTACCTTTTTCATAGGCTTTTTTGAGTTTGGGCAAGGACACAGGGGCCCCATGATCCCCTATTGAGGGCTCGGGGGGTCAGTAGGGGGCCCCATGAGATGCCCCTGGTACCTTTTTTCATAGGTTTTTTTTTGGGTTTGGGCAAGGACACAGGGGCCCCATGATCCCCTATTGAGGGCCCGGGGTCAGTAGGGGGCCCCACGAGATGCCCCTGGTACCTTTTTCATAGGTTTTTTTTGGTTTGGGCAAGGACACAGGGGCCCCATGATCCCCTATTGAGGGCCCGGGGTCACACAGCAGAACAGGGGCAGGAGTAGTAGGGGGCCCCACGAGATGCCCCTGGTACCTTTTTCATAGGCTTTTTTGAGTTTGGGCAAGGACACAGGGGCCCCATGATCCCCTATTGAGGGCTCGGGGTCAGTAGGGGGCCCCATGAGATGCCCCTGGTACCTTTTTCATAGGTTTTTTTTTGGGTTTGGGCAAGGACACAGGGGCCCCATGATCCCCTATTGAGGGCCCGGGGTCAGTAGGGGGCCCCACGAGATGCCCCTGGTACCTTTTTCATAGGCTTTTTTGAGTTTGGGCAAGGACACAGGGGCCCCATGATCCCCTATTGAGGGCCCGGGGTCAGTAGGGGGCCCCACGAGATGCCCCTGGTACCTTTTTCATAGGCTTTTTTGAGTTTGAGCAAGGACACAGGGGCCCCATGATCCCCTATTGCCCGGGGGCCCCATGAGTTATCAGTCCGCCCCCGGGGGCGACTCTCCCCAGTGGGGACAGAAAGGGCAATAAAACCTGACAGAGGCTCTAACGCTTCCCCGCTTTATCCAAAACTAAAAAAAAGAAAACGAAAAAAAAAAGGTTTGCGCTTCAGATACATTGTAACAATTTGTAAGAAACGTATAACTGTGCCGGAGTTCACGTTCCCCTGTGAGGACAGAGGCTGAGCAAAGAAATGCGAGGCGTCGGTGAGACATTCGCGCTCCACTCGGCGCAGCGGGGCCAGTTCCGGCTTGAAGCGATTCAGGTGTACGGACGCGAGCCAACTATTTTTCCCAGGCCCGTTCCTTTCCTGGATCGCACAAGAATAGCTGCATTGTTCCTTTGCGTGCTCAGATCCTCGCTTGGCTCGGGGTTCCGCCCTTGCTCGCAAAACCGCAATTACACCCAGCTGCACCTTGTCCCCTTCTTGTCTGCCTCGCTCTCTTTTGGCATCAGGTAAATATCGGCATCTGCACGCGATCCCCGGGGAGAGAGCGAGGGAGGGAAGGAAGGTTTCCACATTACCGTAATACCCCCCCCCCCCCAACTACACTCAGAGAGAAAATTCTTCTGCACTGACTCAGCACTTGTGTGAAAGCAGAGAATGCGTTAACCCCGTCACCGCCGACCTACCGCCGCCCATAGCGTCACCCCACGGCTGAGAACGCGTCCCAGGGCAGCGGTGGATTCGGGGTCAATGAGGGCGCCACAGGAGGCTGAAGAGAAACTCATTTTTGTCGTTTCCACAAACAGTGCCTATATATATATACAGGGGCGGACTGACCATTTGGAAACTCGGGCACTGCCTGAGGGCCCGGGGTCAGTAGGGGCCCCATGAGATGCCCCTGGTACCTTTTTCATAGGCTTTTTTTTAGTTTGGGTGAGGACACAGGGGCCCCATGATCCTCTATTGCCCGGGGGCCCCATGAGTTGTCAGTCCCTGATATATACACATACCGTACATAGTTAGTCTGGCTGAAAAAAGACAAAGGTCCATCTAGTTCAACCAAAAATAAAAAGTTATAATCCTACACCCACAATTGATCCAGAGCCGTGGTCTCCAAACTACGGCCCTCGGGATACTATTCCTCCCACTGACACCAACAAGGAGGCACCATTTGCACCAACTATGGGGCATTTTTCCTTCCATTGACACCAATGATGGCACAATTCCTCCCAGTGATATAAACAATTGGGCACTATTCCTCCAACTAATACCAAGGGTGGGGCACTATTCATCCCACTGACACCAATGATGGGGCACTGTTCATCCCACTGACACCAATGATGGGGCACTATTCCTCCCACTGACACCAATGATGGGGCACTATTCCTCCCACTGACACCAATGATGGAGCATAATTCTTCCCCCTGACACCAATGATGGGGCACTATTCCTCCCACTGACACCAATGATGGGGCACTATTCCTTCCACTGACACCAATGATGGGGCAGCATTTCTCCCACTGACACCAATAATGGGGCACTATTCCTCCCACTGACAGCAGTGATGGGGCACTATTCCTCCCACTGACACCAGAGATTGGGCACTATTCCTCCACTGACACCAATGATGAGACACTATTCCTCCCACTGACACCAGAGATTGGGCACTATTCCTCCCACTGACACCAATGATGGGGCACTATTCCTCCACTGACACCAATGATGGGGCACTATTCCTCCCAATGACACCAATGATGGGGCACTATTCCTCCCACTGACACCAGAGATGGGGCACTATTCCTCCCACTGACACCAATGATGGGGCACTATTCCTCCCACTGACACCAATGATGGGGCACTATTCCTCTCACTGACACCAATGATGGGGCACTATTCCTCCCACTGACACCAATGATGGGGCACTATTCCTCCCACTGACACCAATGATGGGGCAGCATTCCTCCCAATGACACCAATGATGGGGCACTATTCCTCCCACTGACAACAATGATGGGGCACTATTCCTCCCACTGACACCAATCATGGGGCACTATTCCTCCCACTGACACCAATGATGGGGGACTATTCCTCCCACTGACACCAATGATGGGGCACTATTCCTCCCACTGACACCAATGATGGGGCACTATTCCTCCCAATGACACCAATGATGGGGCACTATTCCTCCCACTGACACCAATGATGGGGCACTATTCCTCCCACTGACACCAATCATGGGGCACTATTCCTCCCACTGACACCAATGATGGGGCAGCATTCCTCCCAATGACACCAATGATGGGGCACTATTCCTCCCACTGACAACAATGATGGGGCACTATTCCTCCCACTGACACCAATCATGGGGCACTATTCCTCCCACTGACACCAATGATGGGGGACTATTCCTCCCACTGACACCAATGATGGGGCACTATTCCTCCCACTGACACCAATGATGGGGCACTATTCCTCCCAATGACACCAATGATGGGGCTCTATTCCTCCCAATGACACCAATGATGGGGCACTATTCCTCCCACTGACACCAATGATGGGGCACTATTCCTCCCACTGACACCAATGATGGGGCACTATTCCTCCCACTGACACCAATGATGGGGCAGCATTCCTCCCAATGACACCAATGATGGGGCACTATTCCTCCCACTGACAACAATGATGGGGCACTATTCCTCCCACTGACACCAATCATGGGGCACTATTCCTCCCACTGACACCAATGATGGGGGACTATTCCTCCCACTGACACCAATGATGGGGCACTATTCCTCCCACTGACACCAATGATGGGGCACTATTCCTCCCACTGACACCAATGATGGGGCACTATTCCTCCCACTGACACCAGTGATGGGGCTCTATTCCTCCCAATGACACCAATGATGGGGCACTATTCCTCCCACTGACACCAATGATGGGGCACTATTCCTCCCACTGACACCAATGATGGGGCACTATTCCTCCCACTGACACCAGTGATGGGGCACTATTCTTCCCACTGACACCAATGATGGGGCACTATTCCTCCCACTGACACCAATCATGGGGCACTATTCCTCCCACTGACACACAATGATGGGGGACTATTCCTCCCACTGACACCAATGATGGGGCACTATTCCTCCCACTGACACCAATGATGGGGCACTATTCCTCCCACTGACACCAATGATGGGGCACTATTCCTCCCACTGACACCAGTGATGGGGCTCTATTCCTCCCAATGACACCAATGATGGGGCACTATTCCTCCCACTGACACCAATGATGGGGCACTATTCCTCCCACTGACACCAATGATGGGGCACTATTCCTCCCACTGACACCAGTGATGGGGCACTATTCTTCCCACTGACACCAATGATGGGGCACTATTCCTCCCACTGACACCAGTGATGGGGCACTATTCCTACCACTGACACCAATGATGGGGCAGTATTCCTCCCACTGACACCAGTGATGGGGCACTATTCCTCCCACTGACACCAATGATGGGGCACTATTCCTACCACTGACACCAATGATGGGGCACTATTCCTACCACTGACACCAATGATGGGGCACTATTCCTCCCACTGACACCAATGATGGGGCACTATTCCTACCACTGACACCAATGATGGGGCACTATTCCTCCCACTGACACCAATGATGGGGCACTATTCCTCCCACTGACACCAATGATGGGGCACTATTCCTCCCAATGACACCAATGATGGGGCACTATTCCTCCCACTGACACCAATGATGGGGCACTATTCCTCCCACTGACACCAATGATGGGGCACTATTCCTCCCACTGACACCAATGATGGGGCAGCATTCCTCCCAATGACACCAATGATGGGGCACTATTCCTCCCACTGACAACAATGATGGGGCACTATTCCTCCCACTGACACCAATGATGCGGCACTATTCCTCCCACTGACACCAATGATGGGGGACTATTCCTCCCACTGACACCAATGATGGGGCACTATTCCTCCCACTGACACCAATGATGGGGCACTATTCCTCCCAATGACACCAATGATGGGGCTCTATTCCTCCCAATGACACCAATGATGGGGCACTATTCCTCCCACTGACACCAATGATGGGGCACTATTCCTCCCACTGACACCAATGATGGGGCACTATTCCTCCCACTGACACCAATGATGGGGCAGCATTCCTCCCAATGACACCAATGATGGGGCACTATTCCTACCACTGACAACAATGATGGGGCACTATTCCTCCCACTGACACCAATCATGGGGCACTATTCCTCCCACTGACACCAATGATGGGGGACTATTCCTCCCACTGACACCAATGATGGGGCACTATTCCTCCCACTGACACCAATGATGGGGCACTATTCCTCCCACTGACACCAACGATGGGGCACTATTCCTCCCACTGACACCAATGATGGGGCACTATTCCTCCTACTGACATCAATGATGGGGCACTATTCCTCTCCTTCCACTGACTACAAGCATTATTTCTTTCTTTATTTTTTTACTCCTACTAACGCTGGGAGATTTACTACTCCCACTGAGCACTCCAAATTTCCTAAGGTCTGAGGGACAGTAAACCGGCCCTTTGTTTATAAAGTTTATAGACCCCCCTGATCCAGAGGAGTTTGTAATTTGAGTTATAAATGGCTTTATACGTTATTGTTAATGTTTTGAATTTTATCTGTTGGGCAACGGGAGTCCAGTGGAGGGGATTGGCAGAGAGGGGTGGAGGACACTGAGTGGAGGCCAGTAGAGGGATTGGCAGAGAGGGATGGAGGACACTGAATGGAGGCCAGTGGAGGGATTGGCAGAGAGGGGTGGAGGACACTGAGTGGAGGCCAGTAGAGGGATTGGCAGAGAGGGATGGAGGACACTGAATGGAGGCCAGTGGAGGGATTGGCAGAGAGGGGTGGAGGACACTGAATGGAGGCCAGTGAAGGGATTGGCAGAGAGGGGTGGAGGATACTGAGTGGAGGCCAGTGGAGGGATTGGCAGAGAGGGGTGGAGGACACTGAATGGAGGCCAGTGGAGGGATTGGCAGAGAGGGATGGCAGATACAGAACGGTTAGTAAGGTGGATGATTCTGGCAGCAGCATTCATGATAGACTGAAGAGGGGATAGCCTGCGATGAGGTCGCCAATGAGGAGGGAGTTACAATAGTCAAGGCGAGAGATAACCAGGTGAGGGAATAAGTTACTTAATGGTTTCAGAGGTTAGGAACGGGTGTATCTTGGAGGTGTTGCGGAGGTTGGAGATGTTGCGGAGGTGAAGTCTACAAGATTTGGACAGTGATTGGATTTGGGGGTGAAAGGACAGATGGGAGTCTAGGATTACACCGAGTACCCTGGCATGAGGAGAGGGACTGATGATTGTGTTATTGTACGTTCACATCAGTCCCCGCCCCTGAGGAGCGTACAATCTAAGGTCCCTAATTCCCATCCATACATACACACTAGGGCCATTTTGGGATCCAATTAACCTCCCAGCATGTCTTTGGAGTGTGGGAGGAAACCCAGAAGAAATGCATGCAGGGAGAACATGCAAACTCCAGGCAGGTGGTGCCATGGTTGGGATTCAAACCAACGACCCGAGTACTGCCAGGCGGAAGTGCTAACCACTTAGCCACTGTGCTGCCCATATATATATCATATACAGTTGCAAGAAAAAGTATGTGAACCCCTTGGGATTAAGTGGAGTTCTGCATTAATTGGGCATAAAATGTGCTCTGAACGTCATCTAAGTCACAACAATAGAAGAACACAGTCTGCTGAACATAATACTACGCAAACATTAGATGTTGCCATGGTTTAATTGCACATAACATGTAAACATTCACAGTGCAGGGAGGAAAAAGTATGTGAGGCCCTAGCTTAATGACTTCTCCCAGAGCTAATTGGAGCCAGGAGTGAGCCAACCTTGACTCCAATCAGTGTGATGATATTGGATGTGTTGCTGACACCTGTTTTGGGTTTACTGGTTTCAAGAAGCACTGTCTGATATGAACCATGCCTCGCAGAAAAGAGCTCTCAGAAGACCTACGATCAAGAATTGTTGACTTGCATGAAGCTGGAAAGGGTTACAAAAGTATCTCCAAAAGCCTTGATGTTCATGTGGCCACGGTAAGACAGACTGTCTACAAATGGAGAAAGTTTAGCACTGTTGCTACTCTCCCTAGGCGTGGTCGTCCTGTAAAAATGACTGCAAGAGCACAGCGCAGAATGCTGCACGAGGTAAAGAAGAATCCCAGAGTGTCAGCTAAAGACCTACAGAAATCTCTGGCACATGCTAACATTTTTGTTGACACATCTACAATAAGGAAAACATTAAACAAGAATGGAGTACATGGGAGGACACCACGGAGGAAGCCATTGCTGTCCAAAAAGAAGATTGCAGCACGTTTGAAGTTTGCAAAAGAGCACCTGGATGTTCCACAGCACTACTGGCAGAATATACTGAGGACAGATGAAACCAAGATTGAGTTGTTTGGGAAGAACACACAACACTATGTGTGGAGAAAAAAAAGGCACAGCACACCAACATCAAAACCTCATCCTCACTGTGAAACATGGCGGAGGGAGCATCATGGTTTGGGGCTGCTTTGCTGCCTCAGGGCCTGGACGGATTGTTGTCATTGATGGGAAAATGAACTCCAGAGTTTATCAAGACATTTTGCAGGAAAACATACGTCCATCTGTCTGCCAACTGAAGCTCCGCAGAGGATGGGTGATGCAACAGGACAATGACCCAAAGCATACAAGTAATTCAACAAAACAATGGCTGCAACAGCACAGAATACGCCTTCTGGAGTGGCCCAGTCAGAGTCCTGACCTCAACCCCATTGAAATGCTGTGGCATGACCTTAAGGGAGCGATTCACACCAGACATCCCAAGAATATTGCTACACTGAAACAGTTTTGTGAAGAGGAGAGGTCCAAAATGACTCCAGATCGTTGTGCAGGTCTGATCTGCAACTACAGGAAACGTTTGGTTGATGTTATTGCTGCCAAAGGAGGGTCAACCAGTTATTAAGTCCAAAGGTTCACATACTTTTTCCTCCCTGCACTGTGAATGTTTACATGTTATGTGCAATTAAACCATGGCAACATCTAATGTTTGTGTAGTATTATGTTCAGCAGACTGTGTTCTTCTATTGTTGTGACTTAGATGACGTTCAGAGCACATTTTATGCCCAATTCATGCAAAACTCCACGTAATCCCAAGGGGTTCACATACTTTTTCTTGCAACTGTGTATCTATATATTATTATTATTATACAGTATTTATAAAGCGCCGATAGTTGGCTCAGTGCTGTACATTACAAAGGGGGACAGAACATGTGACAGAACAATACCAATACAATGTGATACATGAGGGGATCGAGGGCCCTGCTCTTTCGAGCTTACAATCTATATACACACACACAGCCCCCTGTTGACGCATTGAAGTGCCTTTTGTGGGTAAAAGCATCCAAACTAAGGCCTTGTACATTTACAGTATGGGGGGGGGGGGGGGGCGGCATGCATTTTAGCCCCCCCCCCCCCAGTCTCCTCACTGCCTGTTTTAACTCTTAAAAACCCACACCCCCTGCGCTGCAACTGCACAAGCTGCATGTTTTGGAGGTTAAAATGGACATTGAGGAGACAATGTTAAAGGGTAACTCCACTTTTGTTGAGGACAAATCCCCAACAGCTGCATGGATCCAATGAGGAAAGTGGCATGGTCTGCATCCCTTTAGCCCTGGTTCACATCTGTGCTGCTGCGGAACTATTCCTCCCACTGACACCAATGAACCCACACCAATACCTGCAGCCGCACTGCCCACACAGAGAAATGGGGGACATTCTAATGGCACACCGGCCACAGTGAAGATCACAACCGTACTGGGAACTTGGTGATTTCTGAAGTAGTGCAGGAACTTCTTCCCTGCGTGTCCAGGGAGTCGTGTCTGCACAAATCAGGGGATAGACATGATTTCCCTCTGGGAGGATCTCACCATAAATGACATTTTTATTGCAGGGGAAGCCCAAAACCTGACTTGTATCTTAGTGTGGACAGGGACTGAGGTTTGCACTGGCCAAAAGGCCTGGCGGACCCCTTTCCTTGTGGATAGCCGACCACCAAGAAGTGTTTTCTAACAGTGACCATGTGCAATTTTCACACTTGGGATTCACATGTGCTACTAAGAGGCGACCACTCAGGGGGCACTGTTCCGTGGACTGAGGGTGGAGCGCCCCCACTGGACATTGATAAAAAGAGATTTATTTTTTCTAAGTCTGCGAACGTGCAAAAAAAACGAAAAACCCGTAAGTGCACAAAAAACGTGCCAGTGCAAAACCAACACAAAAAAGTGCACTTAGGGGTGTGCTTTGTCCATCCCCTGAAGGGGTTGGATCTCTACCCTGATCCCCGGGGCGCGAAGCTCCTGACAGGGACAAGGTTCCCATGTGGTCCGTCTAGCCAAAAGGCCTGGCAAGCCCCGTTCCTTGTAGCCAGCCGAAGCCAGCCACACAGTACTTGGTCAGGGGACTCTCCTGAAGAGAAAACCCCCTAGGGACAGGGGAGGAAGGAACCAAAAGGCCACACATCCTCCCCCTAGACTTCAGGGTTAGGCCCGAGGACCCACACCCTACTGTCCGTGAGAAGAAAACACACACAAAAGTGACAAACGTGGGAGGAAAAAATAAACTAAATAAATAAATAAAAATAAAAAAGTGGCCGTGCAATTGTGCCCTGGCGGGGCCCTGAGGCCCGTAGAAAAAAAATTGCCCTGGACTTAGCCAAAAGGCCGGGCCCTAAAAGGCGCAGTGCAGGAAAAGTGTTTGAAGCTGTGACCATGTGCACGTTTCACACGTTGGGGTCCCACACCCAAGTGCTACTAAGAGCACCCCTGAGGCGACCACTCTCAGGGGGCACTGGTTCGCGGACTTTCTGCCTCCCCGGCCCCTGGCCAGACAAGGTAGATCTATTCAAATCAGGAGGAACTGGGCCCCTATGGTTTTCCAGGGGGAAGTACTCCCGGGCCCCAGCAGCCTGTGGGCGCCTCGGTTTCTGTTCCAGCCTGTACTAACCATCAGGACCCCCATCCTACCAGCAGGGGTACTATACAACCAATCATCTCCACAAGCAGAAATGATGGTGGAGCGCCCCTACTGGACACTGATAAGAACAGAGACTACACTTGATCTTAGCCAAAAGGCTGAGAAGTGATATTATGAGGTGAAACGTAAACACTTCCAACTTGTATGCAATCAGCCCGGCCCTTCTACTACCAACTTAATGGTAAATCTAAAGGATATGGAGAAAATTGCATAATGTATGGCCAACTTTAGAACGGTACGTTGAATTGGCTGTTTCATGCAACTCTGAAGGACAGGTCCACTTTAAAAACAGTTGGGGGGGCGGGTAATAAAATCACATTTGCACCGAGATCGCCCGCTGATGGTGCTTCTGGATGAGATCAGATACAGTGGAAAGGCCCAAAGCAAATTCCGGAACAAAACCGCCAGCTATCATGTGATCCGGCAATCCATTTATCCTCCTTACCTGCGGATGACTCGGCGCCCTCATAGTGAAGGTATGTTCTCCATTGTCACGAAACATCGCCGTGCAGGATGTGATCAATGGGCGATAACGTTCCGGGAAGATGCGGTGTGCTACTAATGCAGGACAGAGAGCGCCTCCATAGGGGGATATTACAGTCAGATACCGCAATCTGCATTCAAAACCGCATTTGAGGGCGTGGTCACACTACCCATGTTGCAGTAAAATGCTAATTAGATACAATGCTCTCCCTAAGTTAAAACAGTATGGTCCAAAATCATCATTATTGAACCCCCCCCCCCAACCTGGATGGTGGTCCTGATGGTTAGTACAGGCTGGAAAAAAAAAACTGAGGTGCCCACTGGCTGTTGAGGCTCGGGAGTAATTCCCCCTGGAGAACTGGAGGGGCCCAGTTCCTCCTGGTTTGAACGGATCTACCTTGTCTGGCCAGGGGCCGGGGAGGCAGAAAGTCCACGGAACTGTGCCCCCGGAGAGTGGTTGTCTCAGGGTGCTCCTAGTAACACATGGGGGTGGGATCCCAAGTGTGAAATGTGCACATGGTTACAGTTCTAAAAACACTTTTACTTATGTGTGTGTGGTCTTTTCTCAAGGATGGTAGGGTGTGGGTCCTCGGGCCTGCCCTGAAGTCTAGGGGGAGGTTGTGTGGCTTTTTGGTTCATCTTCGGGAGAGCCCCCTGACCTAGTACTTGGTGGTCGGCTTCGGCTAGCCACAAGGAAAGGGTTTGGCCAGGTGGAACACGTGGAAACCTCAGCCTTTGTCAGGAGCCCCTGGGAGATCAGGGTAGAGGTCCTACCCCTTCAGGGGGTTGACTAAAGCACACCCCTAAGTGCACATTTTTGTGTTGGTGT